AGAAACCTCGTTCATCAACAGCAATCCACTCGTATATTTTGGCATTTCTCACACCTTTTCAAAGAGAACAAATTTTCAGTGTCTAAACTGATAAAAGACAAATAAACAAACAAAGCAATAAACGTCAACTTATTAAAAATAATTATTTCATATGAAATGGCTAATATTGCAGACTGAAAGACCATTTCTAATTTGCGTATGAAACACTGTTTGTTGTACACTTCTAGTAAGTTGAAGCTGGTTTTTTTTTATAGTTTTCACCTGCATATCTGGTAGGGATTGGGTAGGTTGTGTTGGGGGAGGGAGTGTGACGGGGCTTGGGGGTCCCCGACGAGTTTTTTTTTAATTAATTATCCTGTCCTAATTTCTTCGTCGACAGTGCGAATATGTTTCATTTGCGATTGGTTAAGAAAACTTTATTAAAAACACATTTTTTACATGTAACTTATGATGTATGGTAAAGGAACCTATCAACCTATCATTGTCACAACCGTGAAATATTTGTTATGTCCATTTCAAAAGAAGCGTTTCTTAAATTGCAATTTACAGAACGATATAGTTGTTCAAAATCTGAATGTTTGGCAATAGAAATATAAAAGAAAATACAAAAACATCTGGGGTCGAATTTGTGAATTTTACATTTACAAAGACTACAATTATTCATTGTTTGCCTTTTTTGAAATTACAACTGCAGAGCATAAAATATGGTGTCAAATGTATTGGACGCAAAGCCGAAGTTAAACTTGACAGGGGAAGTTACTATAAGCCTGAAACACTCCGTTTGGATTGCTTCATCTTCTTTATACGATAGAGATTATTCCAAGGGGAAAGAAAACCCAGTGGAACTCTTCTTCGCGATTATAACTGATGTAAACAATGTAGTAGTACCCTTAACCCTGAACCAGTCAAAGACGAGCGTCCTTCGTTGTACCCGTAAAGAAAGGAAATGGTTTGTGCTTTAAATTGACGACGACTGTTTGGTAGTCGAATAGTTCGATAGATTTTATATGTACATTTAGTTTTCCGAAGGATTGGTGATGAAGAACATGTACATACTTTGCAAAATACCACTTTCTATTTCTTACGAAATGTTTCCAGGTACGATTCTGCATAAACATTCTCTGTAATGTTAGCAATAGACAACAGTCCAGTTCTGATACAGTAGTAAATAATGACACATTTTTCCAATTTAATTCAAGTTTGTAAACTCACTATTGGGCCATAACTAACCAAACAATCTTTTAGAACTGAATCCGGGTAATATAGAACCATTATTCATACGAGTACTCTAACGGAGTTGTTATAAAGGTACTGTCTCGGGAGTGATTTCTATGACATATAGAAGTATAGCTATCCTCAGAGTGTCTACAGTATAGACGTAGTAGTGTTTCTTATAATCGAGACAACTTGTCTATTCCATTTATAATAAATCCTTAAATGTACATTCAAATTACATATGTCTCGTATTGGTAGTTAATTCAATAAGGTATACACTTTGTATCATTAAAAACGAATTGAGGTTAAAATGGAAAATAAGCATTTGCTACAGTCATAACTTCATAAATATTACCCTGTCTTAACGTATGTCATTTACAAGTTTTTCTACCATTTTTAGTTTGTTTGAAAGTCGTACCTTACATTCTATACTAAGCAGGCAAGGCTAGAGGAGGAATAAGAGGGAATTGTTATCGGCGCCTAGTCAAGCTAATACATGGTAAATAGACATCAATAGCATGTAAGTCAGGCCTAGTAGCCTTCATCAATTGGGAAGTGAAATGTTTAAAATAGCTTTGTAATATGTAAAGCCGGGCGTCTCCTCACTTTGTCATCTACATTGATTACCAAATCACATACCGGCACAACGCCGCACACTCCCGTTAACCTATTATTGTGAAATGACGTCATCGTGATGAGATATTATCACCAATTCCCAGAACGGAAGTTGAAGCATTACCGAATGCAGCGGAGCTGACTAGGGTTGATTGCGACCGTATAGGTTTTTAGATGTATCGACCTGTCTAGGGGGGTCAAAAGGGGGTATTTGATTAGCTTCATCAAAAACCGTTTCTCTCGTTAATCAATGTTTCACAAATCAAATTACTGGTTTTATATGCTTTAATTTCCCACCTATGATGTTACAGTACAGAACGCGTAATACGTCATGCCAACGCCTAATTGCACCAAGTTCTTAATTGTGTATACTTTTATGTTTTTATGTCTACCCCCTCTTTAGTCCCCGTCTACCAAAGCAGGTGTAAGTCACGTCACTCCCGATGCTGTAGTCATGTAACAACAACTGAGTCGGGTGTAGACATAAGCTTCGTTTTGGTCACCCCCAAATTGCCTGATTAAATTACCGATGCTCACGCAAAAATAACAGTCAACCTACCTTGTGTTAGTGTTATACAGCCATTATATTGGCATGTCATCCTCCCCCACCAAGACCAATAAAATCAGGCTCTTGAAATTGTAAAAAAAACATGAAACAGTTAAAAGACTCACTGGCAAGCCTCCCAAGACCCTGTTCTTTGTAATTTATTTAGAGCATACTTCATCTTGGCGTACTTTATGTATAAATATGCCAAAATATAATTTCACTCACATGCTATAAGAGGTACGTTGAGTTACATAACTGCAGCTGTCCAAAGATGCATCAAAGCGACATTTCATTGGATAGGTATTTCCTCCAGTATGACTTAAATTAATGAAGTTTTATTTCAACATATTTCTTACTTCCTCCGTTTGTTAATACATCTCCTTAATACAATATATGTTTACCAAAAGATGTACACAGTAAAGGTGTTTTATAGCCTTGACCTTGCATTCGCTATTGTTTCCTGCTCATTGAGAGGTATACATGGTTCTATGTTGTTCAAAGCTAAATACGACTTTCGTTCCCTTGGTTTTTTTAGTAATGTAACCGACAAAGTACCAAGTATACAGAAGGATAGATCGTTTACATGTAACCATGTACGTTAATATTGTGGAAAGACACCGTACAATAGAGCGCCAGACAGACAAGTCTTTCCTGATTTTTACTGTACAATTATATTCATAGAAGGCAAAGTCACACGGGACACAAATAGTATGATCATTAAACAATAACATAAATTTTCAAAAGATAGAAATCATTCCTTCCTCAATGAGGGTGAAAAATCAACCGTTGACTTGAGTATGCTTACGCTGGATGAGCGTAGCACACACAAACAGGTGATGTACCTTTAAGAATCGGTCATAAACACAGTAAGTATGCCAAAAAATGTAAGGAAAAACAAGAGGTAACCAGAAAATGTTGCTCAATACACTTTCTGTACTGAGAGAGAACTTTTTTATATAATGAATTGTGCATTCCTTGTTTTAAGTATACAGAGGCGGCCTGCCGTGAAAGACATACCAAAAAGGATGGAACGAGCTTAATGTATATTAGGGTCAATATGTTTACCTTTAATTATAACGAACCTGGAGTGAGCCTCAGACATGAGGGGCCTGGAAACGAACATGTTTCCAACGATGACGTTATGAACCAGTCGTCCTGTGGGCACAGGTAACATCTGTCTGACTGGAAACGTTTGGTTAACATTTGAGACGACCCCATTCTCAACGGGAAGTCATTTTGAAGATAATACGCTAGACGGTGTAGAACTATAAACCAAAATGTCACCAGAGTGAACTCTTTTAGACGCGATCGAGACGCTACCTGTTGAGCACAGAGGGTCTCAGACGTGGAAGAAGAAACTGTCTCAACAGGTTTCGGAGCTATTACGAACTAGAAACTCCTGGAATAGGAGGGATGGTTGTGGCCTAACAGCCACGTGTCCTCACAGCGGTCGTTCACCTGTATCCTCCTCCAGTAATATGTATACTCAGTATTACTGTCTGCCCGACGTACCTACTGCTGGGTACTAGCACCTACCGAAATACGACGCCGCACTTGAAATGACGTGTTATTATCTTATTGTGTAACAGAGTATAAAAGTAATAAACACAAAATGTCAAACGATAACATTCTTCACTCTCTTGGTATGGTCGGTCTGTTCAAGTAATCCATGACTTGGATAGCTTCTTTGCGGAAATAACTACATCGTATTAGTTTAACAGACAGGGGATCACTATGAGAGTAAAGGAAACTTGCGGATTATACGTGACTATGTCAAGTGCTTATTGTCGGCACCTGCGGGACAAGGTGACCGCGTTGGCTTGTAAACGTTCATGCGAGTGCGTAAATATATTTTATATTTGAACACATATAAAACTACAGCTATCAAGAGGTAGGCTGACACAGACGGCCTGTCCTGGGATTTTCTTATAGCTCTAGAGGCAAACCTTACACCCGAACACAATCCGTTCTAATGACGTTACACACAGACGGCAGTCGAGTAGATAGTTACACGAGATACTGGCACCCTAGGGGACGTCGAGTGGATAAAATGCATTAAACCTAAATGACGTTAAATCCTTAAGGAGCACAGCCGGATACGGTGAAGCGAATGATAGATCATCTAAATAATCAAATGGTCAACTCGGTAGCGGTCAGTCTGAAAAGTGTAAAGGGGGATATTTGATCTAGCCGTATTAATTCAAAATCCGATCTGACCAGACATCGTAAACTGGACATCGGCGTTTCTCTAGCTGTCAATATAGGTCTTTTGTGTGTATGTATGGGAATGTAGCGGAACGCAGACGCGCGTAGATGGCTGGGTTAACAACTCAATTACCGGGACTCTGACTGGACAGTTCGCAAGCGTGGCGATATTTTCCACAGCTATGGTGTACTGTTACATACTGCCCCGAGTGATGACCGCGAAGGGGTCGGAATGGTAAAAGCTGTGTTGGGAATATGCAACCAAATCGTGTGAAGGATAGCTACAGTACAGGGTTATTTGGGAATGTGGGGTAAGGGACATTTGTAGGCTAATTCAATAATTACATTGTTACATTTCACAGACATATATAGGTCAAGAAGTCAATTACATACGAAATAGACAGATACATGTACTTACCTCTAGTCAAGCGAGATGTGTCACTTCTTCACTAAATCTTCAACTACAGTGCGTTAAGCTCGATTTCTTTAAACCTGTGAAATAAGTTTTTTTTGTATTAATTGTTTCAGTTTTTTCTACCAATGAAATAAAGAAATGAATTAAATCAAAACAATCTATATATTCAAATGACCAAGCGTTCCCCTTTTGGAGAATTACACGGACAGTGTGGAAGTCGTCACTAAAGACCGATTTCGACGGCTTTTATTTAATTGGGCCTTAAGCATGTTCATTGATAATTAAAAGAGGCCAAACATTTCAAACTAGGTCATTGTTATTGTCTGTAAAAAGTTGTCACAGATCATTTATTTCATGGAAAGGAAACCATTTTTTACGATAAGACAATTTCTTCGTCAAATAACCATTGTTAATGTTATGACATATATTGCTAAATGGGCTTTTATTTTTCGAGGTCAAACCCTGTGATTTGGATAAAGTCGCTGTGTTTAGTTTCGCATGCCATTGTCTATTATCAATAGCCATAAGAAACTATCACAGGTAATATGTATTAGGCCTAACTTAATATCTCTATTAAAAGTATTAGCCAATGGTAATAGCTAACTCCCTATCAGAAGGAATAATAAATAATTCTTATTAATTCCCTTTCAGAAGTAATCATACATAGTTCTAACTAACTCCCTATCAGATGTAATAGTCAACAGTCCTAATTCCCTGTCAGAAGTAATCGTACACAGTTCTAACTAACTCCCTATCCGATGTAATAGTACATAGTTATAACTAACTCCCTATCATATGTAATAGTAAATAGTTTTAACTAACTCCCTATCAGATGTAATAGTAAATAGTTCTAACTAACTCCCTATCAGATGTAATAGTCAACAGCCCCAAGTCCCTGTCAGAAGTAATCGTACAAAGTTCTAACTAACTCCCTATCAGATGTAATAGTACATAGTTAACAGTTAAAGTATGGGTATGAGGGATATAGCAAGTTTATGATCCCCGAGGCTACGACTATTTCCCGAGGCGAAGCCGAGGGAAAAAGTCCTAGCCTCGGGGGATCATAAACTTGCTATATCCCGAAATACCCATACTTCAACTGTTTTATTATACCGATACAAACACTCCCTTACAATATTCTAAATATTATTAGACAACAAACTTTCAACAGTTAGGACACTTAATTAACAAAACTGAAAAAATCTTGAGAAATTCGATTGCGCTGATTGGTCAAATTTCGGTCAGGCCCCGCCCACAACATCACTCAATTTCCCGCACTTTCCGAGGGAAATAGTTTCAAAACTATCGCACCCCTCCAGACGAACTATTTCCCTGGCATGCAGTTAGAGGGGAACTAGCTTGTTGATGTGGTTACTTTTGTATAATGTAAAATAAGTAGAGGTATAATAATTCTAACTAACTCCCTATCAGATGTAATAGTCAACTGCTATATCCAACTCTCTATCAGACATAATGATTCCTAACTAGCGCTTTATACAAAAGGCAAACAATCCGTTTTAACCTACAATTTCCTGGGGGGTTTCAGGTCGTGAATATAGCTCAATTATTGTATAACCTCCATGAAAATTAAACCCTATACAGTAGTTGATCTTTTGCACTAAAAACCAGCACTTGCAATCAATTTGTTATGAATAAAACGGCTATGAAACACACCCTGCGAACAATTCTTATAAAAACATAATGTAAACGTTTTATATAACAACGTAATTCACAAAGTTTGGTACATATCTGACCCAACTAAAGACGTCTCCATACGCTTTGTCTTAGACAGAAATACCTCAACGGCGTTCATTATAAATCTGACAAACCGGACCGAGACCCCAACGTCACATCGACAGACCGACTGGGGCTGGTAGGGGATTCTTGAGATTATCAGGTTAAGTGTAAACGTGTTTGCGTTCAGGAGATGGCGAGAAGGATCGACTGTTCTGATCTATTGGACTAGACTGGATATCGATAGCAGTGTTAACTGACGGCGTCAGTAGACGTTATGTTTAACAAGGTGGGCGTACGTCAGTGACAAGCTAGGCCTGTACCACAGGGTATCCACGTAAGGTGATTTATAGTTGGAGTTTAAACTGAATTTGTTTTAAAAGACAGATCAATTTTTTTCGGTGATATAACTTTTAATTCAAGCCTTTTTCATTTGACATTAACCCGACTGAAATTGGTCCTCTCTCTCTCACATTGCTCGAAATCGCTTTGCACGATTTGGTACATGGGGACTTGCAAAGATGCACTAAAATCCTCTACAACATTAAGCTACACATTCATTTAACAGTTTACGCCTTACACCAGACTATATATCAATGTAGGAAACCATACCTAAACGACAACCTGTATATAAATACCTTCTGTTTATAAATACAACCTCTCTATAAAGAACACCCGATTTAATGCCAACTCGAGCATATTTGATACCTTTGTTGACATAATTGTACGATTTACCGGTCATTTATCTGATGAAGATGACAGAGTGTATATCGCACTACTCATCGAAACATCACAAATAAACACTTTACTGGTTGTGATGTATGAACCCATACACAATCTAAACTTACCAACATGAAAAATGTTTAGAAACACATTTATAATAACTATTAAGACCACCTCTCTATTAGATAGCATCTACTGACAAAGGCCACTGTCTTTTTTATAAGACTACCATTTTGAGTGTTCCGGAACAAAAAGACCACTGTTTACATGTGTACGTATAAGACCATATGACGAGTCTATAAAGACCACTGTCTGTAAAGATCATCTTCTGGAAATTTCAATCTGAAGAGTTCCCTAATACAACCTGTCTTTAAAGATAATTTCTTTAAAATTACCATCTGAGGATTCCTCAAAACAACCTTTCTACATGTATTAAGACTAACTGAGCATACGATTTTGCCCTCTAGTGTGCAAGTTGCTTTTGTCACGTTTCTCCGACAACCACGTTCATGAACAGAAAGGAAAAAAAAAGGTGATACACATATATTTCAAATAGTGCCGTCACCATGTCAGATTAAAGTGGTTTTACTGGGAAAACTGAAATAAGAAACACGTGATTTACTGGCCAAGAGGTGCAGTTAAAATCGAAAGATACACGCAAAAAAAATGTATAAATTGTTAGCTTCGTGGTAATGTTGTATATTTGTCACCTTGCTTTTCCTGGACGGACGTTCCAAAACCCTCTAGTTATAGTCCCGGGACGGTCAATCATCCCGATGTGTTTCCAAATCCTTTAAACACACCCCATGCAGTCTTTGAGCCCATAGACACAGCAACTACCACCAGCGAACCGCAATAAAGTCTATTTGCAGAACTGCCACATCTTTACGGTTAAAGCGTCAAGGCATTTGTTTTTGTATACACTGCGAATGATGCACATCCTTTGTTTGGTTTAACAGAAGATGAAATTAACGTCAAGCAAAAATGCTTTTCTGATAAACGAGCGAGTGTGGAAGCGTATATCAGAGGCGCAAAGTGTCCCTTTTGAAGTACATCTTCACATGTATTTCTAGCAGTCAAGCCTTTATTGTCGTGCACGATCTGTACAACCGAACTCCAGCTTACACTAATGCCGTTGTGATTGCGTGATCAATAGATGATTACTTGTTTTAACACACTTTAAGTGTGTTAACGATGAAAGCAAGATATACTACAATACTAATGTCATTTAGGCTGGGATATGTTGTCAGCAGTGACGTCACGGTTATCATAATATTTACAAATATTGCACGTACGAAAGATTATATGTATGGACGGACAAATTGCAACTGGACCAACTACTTACAATATACGTCGTGTGGTAAATGTACACATGTACCATGCGGTTAGTCAGTTAACTTACTTGACCATTGTATTAACATATATATAAATTATCATTGGTATAACGGAGAAGGAAACACCTATCGTGAGTATATCGGTGAGGGAAAGCTACATCATTTGGACAGTTGGTCCAATTACAACTGTAGGACTCATTAGTGGTACTATGTAAAAGTTGAAATAGTTAAAATTCAAATATTAAGTTTTGGAAAACGTATAAAAGTACATTGCAGGAGAAAGGTGTAAAATGGAAGAAAATTATAATGGAAAGTTACATAGACAAGGGGTCATTATCACAGCTTGTAATGTATATTTCTGGAAAGCACTTATTCTTGTCTCGGTATGGACCCAACCGGAGGCCTAGATTCTATTACACAAAATGTAAGATAATGTACATGTATTACTTTATAAGCGTAAGTTTGATTTTGAAACAAGCATAAGGGATGGTGGCTGCACACGACACCATATGTACTTACGTGTAGCTACAAATAAGGAGCTCACGATATGTCATGTACTGTGAGTAGCATTTCCTGTAGTGAAACTTATAAAATCAAAATGTTGTTTTATGATTCCTTTCAAATGAAAACTGAAGATGGCGAATTAGGAGACTGTTCACGACTGTCTGTAAAACGTTAAGCGCAATGGTGAACTAATCAAATCTTACTGTTTAGACAGAAGTTGGACAAAATATCTATATGGTTTTTCACTTGACGGAAATGGCGATCATAGAAAATAAGTACATGTTAATCTATTAACTGAGAGGTTCCACAATAAGTGATTGTTCCTGATGGAGTGTAACTAACTGTAGTTACAACTGTAATTTCCATTTGTTAAGGGAAAGCGATCTAAAGTGATTATTTTTTGTATAAACATATTTAACAACGGTAAAGAGAAGCGAACACTCTTTTTACCTCATTTTCAGGACAGGGTCAAGTGATGAACTTTATTACCTTGCGAACGCTGGGTCAGGTCAAGTAGTTTTTGTTTTTTTGCTTATTGTTTACATACATTTACGGGTACCCAGGTCCAGTGCAACATAGAATCTTTGGATAACGTCAGGGTTTTATTCAAATGTTCATAGTATTTACATTCTAATAAAAAAATATCCGTATGTTTTTTATGCAGTTATAATTGTATTTTATTTATTTGGTATATTTATTTATTTTTGTTTTTGCTATATTGACATTTTAAATCACTCTTCTCTTTATGCATATACATGTACCTATATATGGTCCCATTGCAA